AGTTCATTGAATTTAAAACAATTCGTTTGACTAAAATTAACTTCTACTACTGATGCCAAAATAAATAAAATAAATGTTGGATTTTTCTATTTTACGAAATAAACATTCCATAATACCACAAAAGTGTTTACCCTCACGGAAAAAAAAGTACAACTACATCTGAGAATTTTTTCGCCATAACAATTAAACATTTCGTCAAAAATGAACCAGCGATATTGTATTGACAAAATGGCTGATCAGATAGATTGAACTCTAAATTCACTATAGCCGAATTGGCTAAACTTTTGGCTACTGTGGTGAAACTTATTCACAACGTTGGATGTTTCGTTCCTTCATATTAATTATATTCCCAAATAGCTCGTTCTCGTTGTAAAATTTTTTTCCGTGCTGAAGTTACGGCTGAATAAAATATACTTTAGCTAATTATATAAAGTTTAAAAAAAATTAAAACTACTTTATCTGAATAAGACTAAATCTTTTACTATACTTGTAAAAAAAATTGCAAAATATTTAATAGTATATTATGTGGCAAGCACGTAAAGTAGTAGTTTTTAGGTGAGGATGTAATTTTCAGTACGAGCTGTCGTTAGTGCGACGTAGGTGAGACGAAGGCGAGCCGAAAGCGAGCCAAGTCGAACCGAAGTCGCACAGACAGCGAGTATTGAAATCATCCGAACCTAAAAATTGCTACGTGCGAGCCACATACGCTATTTTTTTCGCCATTGTTATGAAAAAGTGATATATAATATATAATATAATATACAGGGTGTTCCAAAAGTATGGAAACTTGCAAATATCTCGAAAAGTACGAATTTTCGTAAAAAATGTTCAATACAAAAGTTGTTCCAAACAAAAAGATCTACATTGTTGAAACCAAAAAATTGGGCCCCGGGCCCAATGTTGGGCCCTACAATGAAAAAAGTAGTTTTCTTAAATGAGACCACTAATTTTGAATATCAAATTCGTAATCCCCATGAAATTCTGCGTTCAGACATGTGGTATAAGTGCCCAAAATATTGGGCCCAATCCAAGATATCGGGCCCAACATTTTCGACAAAGAAATAAATTTAAAAAATCGTATCTTTGGGGGTTTTTGGGGTCACAGGATTACAAAATTCAAAGCTACTTTTCAAATTGGGCACAGAGCCCAATGTAGGATTCCGCGGCCCAATGTAAGGCCCACAGTAAAAAAATTAGTTGTCTAAAATAAAACCCACTAATTTTTAGTATCCATTTCGTAATCGTCATGAAATTTTGGATTTAGTTTTGTAGTACAAATGCCAAAAATATTGGGCCCAATGTCTAAGATTGGGCCCAAAATTTGTTGACAAAGAAATAAATTAAAAAAATTGTATCTTTGGGGGTTTTTGGGTTCACAAGATTACAAAATTCAAAACTACTTTTCAAATTGGGCACAGAGCCCAATGTAGGATTCCGCGGCCCAATGTAAGGCCCACAGTTAAAATATTAGTTGTCTAAAATAAAACCCACTAATTTTTAGTATCCATTTCGTAATCGTCATGAAATTTTGGATTTAGTTTTGTAGTACAAATGCCAAAAATATTGGGCCCAATATTTTTGGCATTTAGACTTATTTTTTTACTGTTGGCCTTACATTGGGCCACGAAATCCTACATTGGGCTCTGTGCCCAATTTGAAAAGTAGCTTTGAATTTTGTAATCCTGTGACCCCAAAAACCCCCAAAGATACGATTTTTTAAATTTATTTCTTTGTCGAAAATGTTGGGCCCGATATCTTGGATTGGGCCCAATATTTTGGGCACTTATACCACATGTCTGAACGCAGAATTTTATGGGGATTACGAATTTGATATTCAAAATTAGTGGTCTCATTTATCAAAACTACTTTTTTCATTGTAGGGCCCAACATTGGGCCCGGGGCCCAATTTTTTGGTTTCAACAATGTAGATCTTTTTGTTTGGAACAACTTTTGTATTGAACATTTTTTACGAAAATTCGTACTTTTCGAGATATTTGCAAGTTTCCATACTTTTGGAACACCCTGTATATGAACTAGTATATAAAATAAAATAATAAAAATTGATAAATAAAATAAAAGCAAAACAAAAATTATGCAAAAATTAACAACTGCCTAAAAAAGACTTTATAGGGCAGTTTTCTGCCTAAAAAAGTCTTTTTTAGGCAGTTGGCCCAAACTGCCTTAAAAAGTGCTACTTTATCTGCCCAAAACAGGCACAAAAAAGACACTTTTTCATGTCAATGGCGAAAAAACAATTTTTTCTGACTAAAATGGGATTAAACTTCTTATATTAAAATTGTTTAAAATTAAAAGAATTTTCTATAATGAAAACGATCTTTTACTGCAGGGTACTAACATTACAAGAGTTTTGAAATCTTCTGCCTGACTGAAATCGTGTTGCACTACTGAAAACTCATAGCTAGAATTAAAAATGTTCGGTCTAACTTAAATTGACTTCTTCAGATACTGATTTTTTTATTTAAAAATTTCTGACTAAAATTAACTTTTATTATTGATAAAAAAATGTCAAGCATATAAAAATTAATTTATATTAATGTTTAGTAATTTTTCATTAAGGCAGTCAGCGATGCGAAAATAGACGGTTTTACTCGATTCTTTTTGTAAGAAAATGAATGAAATTTTTTTATTTTAACTTTTTGCATCATACACTGAAAAAAAACTAGTAGGTTTTACTACTTTTTAACTACTCTGAGTAGTACAATAGGTCCTCAACTGAATTTAAACGCTTCTATTAACTATATAAAAATAGTTAAACCAATTAAAAATGTAATTGGTAGAATGACATTTTGTGATTGTATTAACTCAATTTAAAAATGTTAAAACAACTCAAGATGTAAGTAGTAGATTTTACTACTTAAAGTGGTTCAATAAGCTTTATGAACATTTTTTTGGTACATTTAATAAATATTTTGTAATTGACACTACGACTTTAAGTAGTAAACTTTACTACTGAAAGTGGTTCAATAGGCTTTAAGAACATTTTTTGTAGAATTAATAAATCTTTTGCAATTAAAACTACTACTTTAAGTAGTAAATTTTACTACTTAAAATAGGAAAATTCTTATTTCTTAAAATAATAGTTACTCTTAAATTCATTATATATTTTCATAAAAACTGTAATAGTAATCAGTATAGGTGCACTTTTTCCCTAAATTGTAACATTTATATTAAACTCTAATATGAGTTTAATACTTAGTAGTATGAATTTTCTTTCAGTGTAGTCATTTTTACTACTTTTATTAGTTGCTATAACTATCCTTTTTAAATTTTGACTTGTCAATTTTTCATCTTTTAATTAAATTATAAGTTGTTTAATTGCATAGTGCAGTAAAATCTATTACTTAAAGTGATAGTGTATACTTTAACTATACATATTTACGTAAAATCAACTATTACTTATTAACTTCTTAAAAATAGTTACATTAACTACATGAACATGATTAGATTAAATAGTTATTTTAACTGCTTTCTAGTCAACTACCCAATGGTAGTTGAATTTCTCGGCAACATTTTTTTCAGTGCACTGAGAAAAATAATAATGTAATGTTAATAAAATAATTTGGTGGAGCACTTTTAGTTAAGATTACAAAAATTTAGTTGACATAACAGTAACGAAAGAAGCAATCAATCGAGAAATTTAGTTGGCTGTACCAAAAAATTTCGTTCAAGCTTTTGCGTCTGTTAACTGAATAATTTGGTTCTCCAAACCAAACCGTCTGAATGCTCAATTGCGCATGCGCTGTTCTCGTAAATATGTCACACGTTAACCATGCTTCGCTCTTCGTGTCGTCCAGTTTTATTCAAGTGTTTTCGGGATTTTTATGTGTTTCAGAAATTCGGTAAAAAAGTGTGTGTAGTGATGCATATCGAACAGAGAGAATAAAGCTTGTTAAAAGAACGGAAGTTTTTCTCCAGCCTGTATACTTTATGAAAATAATTTACACTCACATTGTCACTAGGATTCTTAGTGTAGTGGTCAGCGTTCTTGATTTGCGTTGCGTAGTCTGAGGGTTCGATCCCCAGCAGTGTTAGGTTTTTCCGCAATAGAAATTAATTTAAGTAGACATAGGGTGGTAGGTAATATAAAGCGAAAAGTGATAAAATTAAGTGAAAAATAAAAAATATAAGTGTGAGCCAAAAAATAATTTGGTTGAGAAAAGAAAAAAATTTTTTTCATTTAACTAAATTTTTTGTTTGTGTTTCGAATTGCATTTAGTTTAATGCAATTAATTTTAATTCAAGGGAAGAGTTTTTTAAGATACGTGAAGAAACACACAATATTATTTACAGTAGAAATAAAATAATATAATTTATTAAAAAGACATAAGATTTTACATGTATTGTGGTTATGAGTTGGAGGGTTATACAGTAACTGACTACATAAAGATATCAAAAAACCTGAAGAGGTTCTGCTACATTTTCTTGTCGTTTAGTGGGGGATGATTGACAATAGCGAAGGCGGAGATACATTTAGGTTGTGGAGGGGGAAAATTACAAATTGCCAAATTTTGAGATGCCGAGTAGAAGATAAAGTCATAAAGGACTTAGGATGACCGTTTTACAGCTAATGGACTCTGCAGATGTGCTAATAAAGATTTAGTTTTACAATTTGTTTATTTTTGATAGTTCGACGCTAAACAATTACCAAAAACTTGTATTATAGATTTTGAAACGTGTCTAAACTTGACAAATGCGGATAAGGTATTATTTTCGTTCCTCAACATAACCGTCATAAATTTTTATTTTTTTTTTTGGAGTACCTTTTTTTTTACAAGTTTTAGTACTAACAATTTTCTTTATATTTTACTGCAAACGCAACATGCCGACCCCCTTGAACTACTGGAGTTCAAAACTAATTCACATTGATTATGACACTAAATTTTCTAAAGAATATTTGTAATTGTTGTGATTATTAATTATCTTTGATTTATATCCAATGTCAATTATTTTTCACATTCACTTTTTGTCGGTTTTTTTTTTTACTCGATTGGAAGAAGGCACAAATTCTGAATACACCGTTTGTATTCCCCAGTTTTCGTTTTTACCATCACTACCCGGATTAGCCCATCTTGACCTGGAAAAGTTGCTGTGATGCGCCCAGTTGTCCACTGTAACGGAGGTGCATTATCTTCCTTGATGATTACTAGTTGGCCGACATGAATGTTGGAACTGCTACCTGAACTCCATTTATTACGAGTAATTAGTTGATGGAGATATTCTTTGCTCCATCGTTTCCAAAAATGTTGTCGTAATTGTTGTGCATGTTGCCAATTGGAAAGACGATTAGATGGAATGGTAATGAGGTCTGCTTGCGGAAAGCTTGTCAGTGGACCTCCAATCAAAAAGTGTCCAGGAGTCAAGGGATGTAAATCATTTGGGTCGGAAGACATTGGGGAAATCGGTCGGGAATTAAGGATTGCTTCGATTTCTATTGTATATGTTTCAAGTTGCTCAAAGGTTAACAAAGTATCACCAACGATTCTTGAAAAGTGGTGTTTGAACGATTTTACGGCTGCTTCCCACAGTCCTCCAAAATGAGGAGCTCTGGGAGGTATAAAATTCCAACAAATTTTTTCATTGATTAAATAGTCCTGAATTTTTTTGTTATATTCTTCAGACTGAACAAGATTATATAGTTCATTAAGCTCGCGGCTTGCACCCAAAAAATTAGTTGCATTGTCTGAATAAATGGCTTTAGCTTTGCCTCTTCTCGAAAAAAGACGTTTTAAAGCGGCAATAAAGGCTTCTGTACTCAGGTCACTGACCACTTCTAAATGGACAGCCTTTGTTGCCATGCAAACGAAAAGGGAAATATAGACTTTAATTTTATTACGGTTTCGAAAGCGCTTTTCTTTAATGTACAGTGGACCACAATAGTCAACACCGACATTAAGAAAAGGTCTTGAACCCGAAACTCGATCCTGTGGAAGATTGCTCATGAATTGTTCAAGAGGACGAGGTTTCGCCCGAAAACAAGGAACGCATTGTTTTATAATATTTCGAGTTAAATTGCGACCATTTAATGGCCAATAATTTTCTCGAATCGAATAAAGCGTGGCTTGAGCTCCAGCATGATGAAGTCTCAAGTGTTCATCTCGAATTAAAACACGTGTTATGTGATGATTGTATGGCATTAAAATTGGATGTTTTTGTTTCTCAAGTAAATCTGAGTGAGCAAGTCTTCCACCTACTCGCAAAATCCCGTTTGTATCAAGAAAAGGGTTGAGAGTTAACAATTTACTTTTAAGCGATAAAAAAGTGCCGTTTTTAAGACATTTAATTTCATTTGCGAATTCGGTTGATTGAGTCAACCTTATAATTGTTGATAACGAATTTTCCAACTCAACTGGTAAAATAGGTCCAATGATTTTGCTTTCTTTGTTCTTTGCATTATTTATAAAACGAAAAATGAAGGCAATAATTTTTTGAAGCGTTAAAAGTGAGCTATATTTTTTAAGAAGGTCTCTATCGCGTATCGTTAATTTTAAACAAATTGTCGAGGCAATTACTTTTTTCTTCTCTGGTATCTCTCTAACTGAGATAATTTTATTAGGCCAAAGATGTTCATCTCGAGAAAGCCAAGTTGGACCTTTTTTCCAAAGAGTTGACTCTAAAATTTCTGTAGGAAATTTTCCTCGCGATATAAGATCAGCTGGATTGTCTTGTGAAGGAACATGTTTCCACTCCCCGTTTTTTGTGTTTGTTTGAATTTCTGAAATTCGATTTGAGACGAAGGTTTTGAGCGTGGATGCATCGGTTTTCAGCCATTGTAATACGATTGTCGAATCGGACCAAAAAAATACCCGTTGATTTTCGAATGATAAGGAATTTTTAGTTATGTTGTATAAACGTGATAATAACAGAGCTGCACACAGCTCCAATCGAGGCAATGTGACCGGACTTACCGGTGCTACTTTAGATTTCGCACAAACTATAGAAATATGATGATTACCAGAATTGTCTGTTGACCGCAAGTAAATGCAAGCTCCATAGGCTTTCTCGCTTGCATCGCAAAATCCATGCATTTGAATTTCAATTGGGTTGGATATTGACATAAATCTATCAAAGTTTAACTTTTCTAAAAGAGGTAATTGATTGCGAAGTTCAACCCATTTAGTGTGAATATTTAGAGGGACCGATTCATCCCATGAACATCCTACTTTCCATAAATCTTGTATCATAATTTTTGCAGTAATTATTACAGGTCCTAATAACCCGTAAGGATCGAATATCTTGGAAATTTCTGACAAGATTGAGCGCTTGGTAACTTGTGAACAAGTTTCAGATAGATTCACAACATAAGATATTACATCCCGATTACAATCCGACTGTACTCCTAACGTCTTTTTTGAAGAATCTTTATCAAGTGACATGTGTGTAGTTTCAATTTTGTTTGAATTTTCGAAAAGAAGAGAGGGCTCATTTGAAGCCCATTTTCGAAGGGTAAAACCTCCCTTTTTTAGAAGAATAATTAATTCGTCCCGAAGAATCTTTGCTTCCTTTATTGTCTGACATCCTGTTAGGACATCATCGACGTAAAAGTCGTCTTCCAAGACAGTGGCGGCGACTGGATGAGTCAATCTTTCATCCTCAGCTAATTGTTTCAATACGCGAAGAGCCAAATATGGCGCACACGAGGTTCCATATGTAACAGTATTTAATGAGAAAATTTTTATCGGTTCTTGAAAAGTTTTTCGAAAAAGAATATTTTGATAAGCGACATCATCAGGATGTACCGGAATTTGTCTATACATTTTTTCAATGTCAGCGGTAAGGGCATATTTGTGCGAGCGAAATCGAATTAATAGCGAGAATAAATCATTTTGGAGAGCGGGACCTGTCAGAAACGTATCATTAAGCGAAACCCCCGATGACGATGGGGACGACCCATTAAAAACTACACGAAGTTTTGTAGTTAAACTTTCTTGTCGTACTACAGGATGATGAGGAAAATAAAACTTGGGTTTATCTAATTCATTTTCTTTTAATTCAGTCATATGTTCTAACATTTCATAATTCTCAAGAAATTCGCTATAGTCTTTTTTTAATTCAGGCGAATTTTCAAACCTTTTTATGAGACTATTTAAACACCGCGATGCTCTAACCCGAGACTCCCCTAAGGCACCCTTTTTTTCATTAAATGGTAGTCTTACCTGATACTTACCATTTTCAAGACGTTGAATATTTTCACAAAAATGTTTTTCACATAACTCTTCCTCAGGGGAAAACAATTTTTTGATTGGAATTTCTTCGAGTTCAAAAAATTTTGCAAGATTTTCATATGGAGAACTAATAGCTACATGACATTTGACTTCATTTTGGCGAAAGGAGTTTATTTTTAACTCTCCTGCAACTATCCAACCAAAATGAGTTTTTTGAAAAACAGCGTTTGGCTGTTCCTTTATTGGAATTTGACCTAAACACATTAGTTTGAAGAAAACTTTTACTCCAATAAGAAGATCAATTTTACCTGGCTGATAAAAATCAGGATCAGCCAATTGAATGTTTTTTGGTATTTCGAGAATCGAGGGTTTAATTGGAATTGACGGTATGTCATTCGTAATTTGAGGGAGAACGAGAAAATCGAGTCGTTTTTGATAGTTATTAAATCGAGATTTTACAGTGCCATAAACCAGGTGTTTGACTTCAGTGCTAATATCATTAATTCCAGATACAGAAATGCCAACTGAAGTTCGATGTAAATTTAAAAATTTAGCTACTTCTTCAGTAACAAAATTTGCTTGAGAACCCCCATCTAAAAAGACTCTACAAGTTTTTGTTTTGCCTTGATCATTTACGAGATCAACTATAGCTGTAGCTAACAGCGCTTCTGTGGGAACTTGTGCAGCACCACAGGAAAGAGATTTTTTGTTCATATCAATTTCTTGATCCTCACTACCTACCGTGTTGCTTGGTTCAGCTATTGATTTTTCAAAATGCAAGAAGATATTGTGTTTTTGGTTACATTTACGACAGGGTGATAATGTGCACTCAGCAACTCGGTGGTTTTTTCGCAAACAATTCAGACACAAACTGGCCTTCTTTGCTGCATCAAAACGTGCTTGAGGGGTTAATTTTCGAAATTTAACACACGAATAAATTTGATGATCTCCATCACAGAATGTACAAGAGGATTTTGAGACTGAAGTTGCGCACGATTGTTGAGAACGAGAATTTTTCGACCCAGATTTTTTATCAACACTAGATTGTGATTTTTCTGACTTTTGATAGACTTGAGTATCTTCTAATTGGGCGCGACGTTGCAAAAAAGAAATTAATTCTTGATAGGTTGGTTGTTCCGAATCATTACTGAAATCTTCCCATTTTTCGCGCAAAAAGGGATTTAATTTTTGACTAACAATTCCAATTAACAAAGTATCCCAATTTTCAATAGGTTCTTTTAATGCTTGTAATGCGCGAATGTGTTTTTGAATATAATCAAGAAAGGAGCGAATTGAATATTCTTTCGAAAGAAAAGGCAAATTTAACAAAGCATTTACATGTTTTCTACGAATAATTTTTCGATTATTGTATCGATCTTTTAATAAATTCCAGGCCACCTTATAATTTTCCGCAGACAATTCGAGAGCCGCGATAACATTCACGGCTTCGTCTCTTAAACAACCTTTCAGATGATAAAATTTTTCTATTTCAGTCGTGTCTCTATCTGCGTCGACAACGGATTGAAAAAGGTCATGAAACCCTATCCACGATTCATAACTTCCATCAAACGTTGGTAAATTTACGGGAGGTAATTTTCGTTTACCGACAATTGGTTGTCTCTCCGAATTCGCATGATTACTAGAAGTTGCTAATTGTGTCATTTGTCTGGGTATGTTTTGCAAAATAGTGGTAGCCTTACTCACTGCTCTATAATATTTTTCATCGAATTCGTCGCGTGTTGTTTCATGAGCAGGATCTTCGTTAGTTTGTTCTAATTCTAATTGACAGGTATCAAATATAGCGCGTTGATTCTCAATTTCTTGAAGTCTTTTTTCGAGAATCGGATAATCTTTTTCATATTCAAAAGCGTCGAGAAATTTTAAAAAATTTGTTAACATTCTTTTTGCGTTTCCGCGTTGAGCTTTCAAAACTGCAATGCTACGTTCTGTCATTTTATTTAGTTAATTTACGCGACACTTTGAGCAATGAAATTTATACAATGTAGATAGGATATTAATAAGTGAGGGAAGGAACACTTTTATAATTGGTTGTTCATAAGACTTGCCTTATAATTCTTTGAAGTCCAACGATGTCGAATTGTCCAAAGTTGATGATAAGTTGTTTCTCTCCTTCTTGTTGTCGATTGTAGTTGAATAACACGAAACTGGCACCAATGGCAGGTATTTTTCACGTGAATTAACGTTTTAATTTATACGACACTTTTAAGAGTTCTGATATTTGAGTTACCGTCTTGTGATTTCATTTAATGATTATACAACTGCGAACAAAAGAGGTAAAATGAAATTCACAACAAAATTAACAACCCGCCAACCAACTCATTTACTAAAATGATCTAGTGATCTTATGATAACACACGATTCTGTCTTAAAAGTCCTTTACTTCGACTCTTCACTTTTCACTGTAATGTTCAATCACGTACGTAATGTTTACTCTCGTGCTAGTTCAGTATTACTTCAACACATGTATGTAGATGACACGGCGAAGAATCCGGCTCGAAGGACCATGTTTCGAATTGCATTTAGTTTAATGCAATTAATTTTAATTCAAGGGAAGAGTTTTTTAAGATACGTGAAGAAACACACAATATTATTTACAGTAGAAATAAAATAATATAATTTATTAAAAAGACATAAGATTTTACATGTATTGTGGTTATGAGTTGGAGGGTTATACAGTAACTGACTACATAAAGATATCAAAAAACCTGAAGAGGTTCTGCTACATTTTCTTGTCGTTTAGTGGGGGATGATTGACAATAGCGAAGGCGGAGATACATTTAGGTTGTGGAGGGGGAAAATTACAAATTGCCAAATTTTGAGATGCCGAGTAGAAGATAAAGTCATAAAGGACTTAGGATGACCGTTTTACAGCTAATGGACTCTGCAGATGTGCTAATAAAGATTTAGTTTTACAATTTGTTTATTTTTGATAGTTCGACGCTAAACAATTACCAAAAACTTGTATTATAGATTTTGAAACGTGTCTAAACTTGACAAATGCGGATAAGGTATTATTTTCGTTCCTCAACATAACCGTCATAAATTTTTATTTTTTTTTTGGAGTACCTTTTTTTTTACAAGTTTTAGTACTAACAATTTTCTTTATATTTTACTGCAAACGCAACAGTTTGCTTAAAAACAATAAGTTAGTTGTGCAAAACAAAAAATTTGGTAGACCGAACAAAATGATTCAACGAAAAAATTTAGTAGCCCGAACCAAACGGATTAGTTACACATATATCAAATAAAAAATTTGGTTTGGAGAACCAAACTTCAGTAGATGATACCAAACAGTTTTCTCAGTGTGTATTAATCTATATTTGAATAACATTTCGTAATTTTTTTGTTTAAAAATTATAAGCAGTATAACGAATTTAGTGTGGTTCTTGAAAACAGACTCTTAACAGTGGACACGATAAGTCCCAACAGGATCATCTGAAATCAAGAAAACCTAAAACATTTCATTAGTTGCGATGAGTTTGTTTATAGTACTTGAGCGAGGGACATTTAAAAAAATTTTTTTTGAATTTTTTGTAGTATTTTGAAATGAAAATCGGGTTTCTTGTTATTAAACAAAATTCACGCTTTTCATTGCACTACAAAAAATTCAAAATTATTTTTTTTTAAATGTGCCTCGCTCACTCTAAACAAACTCATCTACTAACGAAATGTTTTTCTTTAAAAAAAAAAAAAAAAAAAAAAAAAAAAAAAAAAAAAAAAAAAAAAAAAAAAAAAAAAAAAACAGTGTATTTTCCGTCCAAATCTATAATTTTCCACTGAGTGTAATATTTCTAATCAGAGTAATAAAAATAATCAAAAAAGAAAATCGACCTCATTCTCTAGCCCAGGGTTTTCGGTTATTCGACTGCAGTCGGCACAAAGTATTTCTCGCCTCTCTTTTTATATATATATATATGTGTGTGTTAGAAACCGGCAGCGCAATTTTTCATTCTCCGGGTGAGGAACGCGAGAAAAGGAGGCGTGGAAACTAGTGCATCAAGGGATTCTATGTGCGAGGTTGCCGGAGCTTGGTAAGGTGGAATCGAGTTTGCATGACATTTAAGAGTCGCCCAAAATTTCATAACCCTTTGACTCAAACGTCTTGAACCTTTTGATTCTATCTCTGCTTTTCGAATTTCACATAATGCACATTCACCGTAGTCAGAAATTCATATGAAACGATATTCTCTTACATATATATATATAAATTTAAAAAAGAAAAAAACCAAAAGAATATGAACATGAAAAATAAAAAGAGAATAATATATATATAATATATAAAGAAAAGGGGTAAATTTCTAAGATCGCATTCAACATTAAGCATCCAGTGGTTCTGAATCTTTAAGAAAAGAAGATATAACTCTTTTTCGATTGCCACAATGGTATAGCTGCGCATTCGTGGGTCGCGAAGAACAAAGTTCCTCGCATTAGAATTTTAAATCAACATCAGTGCTTGCTAGCAGCATCCATTGCGACATACATATAGAGGGAGGAGAAGACCGCGGATCGAATAAGGGAAGAAAAGAAAAAAAAAATATATCCATAGGGGGAGAGGTTTGGATAGATTCGAGCGAAGAATAGAGAGACGAGCGAGAAAAGAAAAGAGGATTTCCGGGAATCGACCCTCGACCAGAGTTTCACGTTATTCAAATTTTTCTCACAGTGTGTAAGATATCGCTACCAAAGTACTGTTACCAGATTTTTCTACTTTTGAAACAACAGACCATTGTTTCTTTAAAGAAAGAAAAATCACTGATTCAACATTTTCAAAAATTTAAATACTACCGTTTTTTTTTTTTTTTTTTTTTATTTTGCCAAATATCTCTCTATTTTCATGATGATGATATGTTATCTCAATTCATATGAGTGAAAATATTCTTCGTTAATGTAGAAAATATTTTCTTGAAAACAATATTATATATATTTTTTTTAAAACTCATCTCTTTCATACTAATTTTTATTTTTATTTTTTTATTTCACTTTTTATGCATCCATTGTTTGAAAAAAAAATACATTTTCTAAAAATTTATTTCAGTAACATATTAAATGTTCTGCAGTCATATTAACAAATAAAGAAGAGAAAAGCTAGAGAATGAAGAAAAAAAAACTAATATTACGAAAGTTTTCATACAAACGTTATTTTTTCAGATTAATGAAAGATTAAAGTGTTTTTTAATTTTCTGCTTTCAAGTTTGTTTTTGTTTTTTTTTTTTTGGAAAAAAAGAAGAATAAAAAGTTCGATTCTCTCTATTTAATTAAACTTAATATTGATTTGTAAAAGTTTTTGAAGTAATCTGAGATATATATATATCATTACTATATTATAAAAAGATATCGCCGCAGCTGATTCAAGAATGAACGCTAGGCGAGAACTTCGACGCTACGCGGGAGTTCACAGTACTCGCCTACCATTCAACTAACGAAGTATTCAAACTCGCGTACCGTTCAGAATTTGTCTCAAATGAACGCTAGGCGAGAATTTCGACGCTACGCGGGAGCTCACAGTACTCGCCTACCATTCAACTCGCGAAGCATTCAAACTCGCGTACCGTTCAGAATTTGTCTCAAATGAACGCTAGGCAAGAATTTCGACGCTACGCGGGAGCTCACAGTACTCGCCTACCATTCAACTCGCGAAGCATTCAAACTCGCGTACCGTTCAGAATTTGTCTCGAAAATTTCAGAGAATGTACTATCTATATCAAAAACATAGGTTAAAAATTAATATAACATCAATACTCAAGGTCAAACGACAGAATCATAGATTAAAACAAACGAAACCTCAAAAATCAAGGAGATATGTCGAAAACCAAATTTTTTGAAGGAGTTGAGACAGACATAACCTCAAAATTATTATCAGAAGTCAAGAGATGACACTCCCCCTTTAAATATCAAAGGTCATAGGTCAAAGGAGAACATAGCCGCAAATTTACGTCAAAGGTCATAGGCGTGAAGACGAACATAACCTCAAAATTTGGTAAAAGTCATAGAAAAGAAATCTGACATAACCCCAAAATTAGGGTCATAAATTAGAAGGACGTCTTCCGTGGTGCATCTTAGAAACAAATTCTTTAAAATAAAATAATAAATTTTTTTCAAAGAATTTGGGTAAAATTAATCTTTAAAAACATAATTATGAAAACTTATTTCGTTCCTAATTAATTTTTTAATTGTAGAATAGATGAAAATTTAGTTTACGGATGCAAGTTAAAATATAATTTATGTTCATAGGAAAATATAAATAAATTTCTGCTGTTCAAATTTAAAAACTTTTCATTAAATATAAATTTAATCAAAATAATATTTAATATTTTAGAAGGGACCTATCCCCGAAATAACATTAGGCTCAGTTTTCCGTGCACCGTACATGAAAACTAAGCCTAATATTATTTCGGAGATAGGTCCCTTCTCTCGTGGAGCATCACATATATATATAAAGATTGTAAAAGTCATTAAAAATATATAGAATTACAATTTTTTTGCCATTATCATATCAAAAGTAGGGAGAGATTTATCTTTAGAGTTTATTTTCAACAAAAATTATAAATCACATTGAACAGAAATTTCTTTTTAAATTACATAGGGGAGAGTGGAGAGTTATGCACCGGATTTTGTTTTTCGATCAAAACTATTAAACAAATTTTTTTTTTTTTTTACTATTTCATTATATAGAACAATTAGTACACGTTCTAACACATCTTTTGGCATGATCAATTATAATTAAAATTCAAAACGGAATTAGTACCTAATCAATTGTGCTTGTTTTTAGAAAATACTGATTTTTACTCTCTAAATTTGAATTAGTGAATAGTGAGCTATTAATTTACAATAGTAAGAATTTTTATTACTTTTTAGTAAAATCTTAATATTTGAATTAGTAGTTTAAAATTTTTTACTAAAGTTTTAGTAAAAAGTGACTAAAGATTAGTGAA